TCACAAAGCCTTTACAAATAGTAGTGCCTTTCGGAGGGGCAGTGGGGAGTGAAGACGTCCGATTGCGTTTGGATTTGCTGATGCTGCAGTATTTTTTCCTTAGGCTTAAGATATCTTTTAAGCAAAAACAGCTGAATGTAGGGCGGGACCAGGTGTTTTTGAGTATCGATCTCAGCTATCCCAAATTTCGTTCTTTCTTGTTTCTGCCCCATGTTCCCATTGATAAGATGGAATTTGGGGAGATGGAGAGAGAACATTCATCTCTTAAGAATGTTGAGGAAGATGTCCTAGCTGACACATCTATAAAATATTTTTGATTTCCTTAAAGTGCTACACACTGCCAGTGGTAGAATTTTATTGACAATAACTTTGAACATTCCAGTTTCCCACAGTCTTATCTTCAGATACCATTTACAAACTCACGAGGTTAAATGCTGTAAATTGCTTTTTATTGGAAGTTCTGGGTGCTCCTCGTCGACACGTTATTTGGTCTCATTTTATAACCTCCACCCTTTAAGAGCTTATCTGCAGAGAAGGATGAGGAGAGCTGCCGAGGACTTAAGTGTCCATAAGCTGTTTCCTCCAGTATTTCTTATGGTAGACATGAGAATCTGATGCCTTCCAAGACAGCCAGCCCTTCCCTTCTCTTCCCAAGCTATATAGAAAAACTGTGGGAAGAAGAACCCAGACAGTTACTTTCCTCACTGGGAGGGCAGACGTGAGGATCGAACACCCTCCCATTTCACAATTGGTTTCTTTAGAGTCTCACAAGAATCTTCTAGAAAAGGCAAGTGGTTTGCAAGGGGGTAGGGGAAGATGAATGGGACTTAGAGAAGGAGGGCTTTGGCTCTAGTCTTTCGAGACTAGTCTTCTTTTGTTCCCAAACCTCCATGCCTGGGAGTCACTCGTTACTTTCTTTCTTCATGCCTATCTGGAAGAACTTGGAAAAATAAATCTGGGAGAATATGAGGGAGAAAATACGATACAAAGTAAACAATGGTTATTTTTCTGTGTTAAATGAAACTCTCTCCTCTAGTCCCAATAGAGGGGAAATACACTGAACACAAAGGGTCACTGTAATAGACATGGTACCCACACATCACGTCCTACGGCAGCCCATGATTTGTACTGGGTAAGTTTTGAGGAATATAGACCATGCTCCTTTCTTGGCTGGGTAACATTCCAATGGAGTCTGGATTAGGCAAGCATATACAAGCTTTCAAGAGGTTTATTTGTCAGAAGCACCTCATGTTTTTTTCTTTGCTATTTAAAAACCTAAATACCTTTAGGGAAGGAATTATTAGAGCCAGGCTAGGCTAAAGGCAAAGCTCACAGAGAGTCCGCCAACAGAAAAGAAGGCACTATGGTAGTTATTTTCTGAAAACCACAAGGCTCTCATTGTCTCATTCATTCTAAAGAGCTCAAAGGGGCTGGAATTTGTCCAGAGACTTAGATGCTTTGATAGGAAAAGTTTTTCATGAAAAATCTACATGGAAATAGAGTACAGAGATATTATATGGCCACATTTTTTATGAAAGACATTTTCTCTTATTTTTTAATATGGGTTGAAGTTATAGGAGAATACAGTCATTCTACTACAGTGCTTTAATCTTTAAGAGATATTAATTAAAAGCCTAAAATTATCACTCCCAGGCTATTGTCTTTTCCTGTCAGTCTGTTTGCTAAGAAGTTCCAAACTGTGGTCAGATTTCATTTTTATCCAAATGACCGACCTAATAGTTTAGTCAGATAAACAGTTCAGTGAACGGGGAAGAGCAAGGGAACATGCAAATAGCGAGTCTTGGAATTCCTGAGAATTAATTTAACCAAGTCAATTTGCCAGTCCAGGGATAGGAAGTTCCCCACTTCCATCAAGAACTAAGTTCGAATTCTGGAGTCCCTGGAGACCGTTACTGTGACCTCAAAGACTGTGGCTATGAACCTGAAGTTAACAAAGCATTTGTCTTCTCCTACTAACTTAAGCCATAACTATCACCTCTGTATTCAATTTTTTTTGTTTTTATTTTTTTACCCCTGGTGCTTTTACTTCTGTTTCTGCCAAACTTCAGACTACTGTGGGGAAGTACATAAAACTGGAAGAGGGACAAACAGGAAGACCATGAAAAACTAAACACACCCTTGAGAATGCTATTTATGCAGAGAACAGCAGCAATTAAGGGCAAACTGTTGGAAAATATGGATATATGTACATCTGTACATGTATATAGTGTATAATATGTATGTATATGTTATTGCTCATATGCAGAAATCTATCCATTTGCAGGCAGCCCAGGTGGGTCAGTTTTTCTACTGGAAAACCATTTAGGACCATTCAAACCCATCAGGGATAATACATGGAGAATTCTATTCACATGGGAACTAATTTGATGTCTTTCGAAGTCCATATGGCCAAACGAACAAATTATGAAACACATTGGGACCATTATTTATGTGATTCTGTTTACTCAGAATTCTATATTCGAATTCTTGTGTGTGTGTGTGTGTGGTTTATTTTTGCTGTTGTTTATTTTTGCTGTTGTTGTTTTGAGACAAGGTCCCTCTGTGTAGTTCTGGCTGTCCTGGAACTCACTCTGTAGACCAGGCTGGCCAGAGATCTGCCTGCCTCTGCCTCCCAAGTGCTGAGATTAAAGGCATACGCCATCATGCCCAACCTATATTTGAATTTTAATATCTGATTTGCAAACTGTGCCCACATTTCTTGGTTTTGAGTGATCCCTTCCTCCAAAGTCTTTTGAGAATTTGTGGTGGGTTCCTCTGGCCATTCAGCTAAAAGGCCTTATTCATAAGCGGACAGGTTTCCCCATAGGGACCATTACACATATACATATAAGTACCTACTTCCATCAGGCTTGTAACAGTTGATTCAAAATCACTCCACAGTATTGGTAAATAGTTCTATATTTTCAAGGTGCAGAAGAATTCCACAGCCTTAATTATTTCAGTGTCTTGCTGGTCTGCCTTAAGTGTATCTTCTGGGGTTTGGGGTTTTGGTTGTTTTATTATTTTAAATTTTCCTGCAGTTGTTCATTTTGTATGCACACAATGTTGTTTTGTAAAGGTAGGTTGTAAATATTTTATTTGTAAGTCGGAATCCCTTCTGTGTAATGTTGTAAAGTGCCGACCTGTTGTCTTGTTATGATTACTGCAGTAAACGTTCTAAGTTGTGGATGAAGCTTCAAAATGTACATTTCACATGTTATGCATTCCTATAAATATAATATACTGAAGATACTATTTTTAGTCTCCTCCCCCTTAAAAAATATTATCACGTCTATTTCTATGCGTGTGTTTGAGCCACGGTGTGTGTGTGTGTGTGTGTGTGTGTGTGTGTGTAAGAAGACAATCTGTGGGAGCTGATTCTCTCTACCATGTGGATGCAGGAGATGGAACTCAGGTCATCAGGCTTGGTAACAAGTCCCTTAGCCCACTAAGCCAGCTCACTGGCTCTTGACTTTTTTTTCTAATTAAAATTCCTGTCCTTTCCCCCCTACCCCCCATGAATAATTTTTCTCTCTCTTCCTCCCAAATATTTGAAAGCTTTTGGCAAGCTTTTTTTTAAAAAAAAAAAAAATCCTGTTAGTGGACCAGCAAGATTGCCCAGCAGAGACAACAGCACTTATTGCCTAGCTTGAGAACCTGAGTTTGATCCACAGGACTGCACAGTGAAGGAGAGAACGGACTCCCGCTGGATCGCACAAGTTTATGCACACTGGCAGGAGTCCAACCACCAGGGAGGATCCACACAGACATCCAGGCTTTCAAAGGCTCCAGGTGCCACACAGGTGGGGAGGAGGTGACTCTGCAGTTCTCTGCCAATTAGCGGCACCCAAAGGTGAAACGTGCTTTGATTTGGCAATAAGAACAAAATGTTTTAATGTTTGAATTCACTTAATCAAGGCTTTACTGCACTTGACAGTTGCTTCTCAAGACAAAACTGTAAGTTTTACAAATGTGGTGGTGCACGCCATTAATCCCAGCACTCAGGAGGCAGAGGCAGATGGACCTCTGTGAGTTTGAGGACAGTCTGGTCTATACAGTAAAGTGTAGTCCAGCTGAAAATACACAGGGAAACCTTGTTTCAAACACAAAGCAAACACAGGACTATATAGATTTTCACACTGGCAGTTCAACAAAATCTCTAGAAAAAACGAAGAATACAGAAATTAAATCTCAGAATTGGTTTGATAAGTAGCATTGGGGGTATTTTCATTAAAATAAAACAAATATAGCATTAAGGAATTTTTATGTTATTATACTATAATTATTTATTATTATCTTTGACAGAGTCTCACTAGTCACTCAGGTCAGCCTTGAACTTGCAATCTTCCTGCTTCAGGTTCTTAAGTAGCTAGGGCTACAGGACTGCACCACCATAGCCAGCGAAGGGATTTGTAAACCAATTATGTTTGGGTTTTCGAACTGCCCAACATTATTCTCCCAGATAGCCTGACACTGTCAGTTCATCTTCCCTAACCCCCTTGCCACCCTTCTTCATCCTGAGTACTTAAGATGATGGAAGGGTTAAATAAGTAGTTTCTTTGCCAGCACCAGAGTGTACGATGACCTGCTTTATATTTAGTTCTATGTGCAAACATCTGTGCAACTCTCCCACGCCAACTGTTGTGAAGTTAATTCAAGAGGAGTCACAAGCACTGTCATAGAGAACTTTTCTGTGGAGAAACCCTGGTAGAGTTTAGGAAAGTTGTGGCTAACTGCGATAAGATTAATTGCTATGATAATACTTACGGTAAGGGAATTACTCAAGGAAACGCTAAGCTTAAAAAAATAAAATAAAATAAAAATTAAAAAAAACCCAGCAGGGCCTACAGACTCCCTTCGGAGAAGACGAGCATCAATCCATAGTTTGCAGATATTAAAAGCACAGCGCCCCAACCAGGAAGCAGCTAGCACAAGCACATACCCCCGCGGTCCAGGCCGGAAAGGGCGGCGGAAAAGGCGGGGCTTCTGGGTGACGTCATGGACCCCGAGCGGCTGGGCTTCCAGAGCGAACTGAGCGCGCGGGAATGGCGGTCGCCAGTGAAGCTCTGGGCCTCTTGGTCACCGAGCTGTACGACGTGCAGGCTTTCAAGTTCGGGAGCTTTGTGCTCAAGAGCGGGCTCACCTCCCCGGTCTACATCGACCTGCGGGGCATCGTGTCCCGCCCGCGACTCCTCAGTCAGGTGCCAACTCCGAGGGACAGGATGGCTCCGGGTGGCGGGAAAGGAGAACGGGAGATGGCGGGTGTGACCGGAGATGGGGGACAAGGGAGAACCCACGGACCAGGCAGGCAGATCCACCCTCCTGCTGGTCTGGAGAGTCAGTGGAGGAGCACGGAAGCCGGCAGCCGTCGGTCGGGCTCTTGGGGACCTTGTTCTTGACCGACCCGTGCGACACGTGCTTTGCGGGAGTCGGGAAATGCAGTGGGGGCTCTGGCAGGCGAAGTCCTTGAGTGAGTTCTGTGTACCTAACCCCCAGATAGTGAGACTTAGGGAGGAAAGGAAAGGGCGGGCGGGCGGAGAAATTAGTAGCTGCCGAAGGACTCAATTTAGTAGTATGTGGCTAGTGGCAAGAAATTAAAGCCGCATGGTGGATGCCAGGAAGGCTTGCTTGCTTTCTTATTTATTTATTTATTTGGTTACAAGGGGTAAACTGCACGCGTTAGAGGTTTGCTTGCTTATTTATTTATTTATTTATTTATTTATTTATTTATTTATTTGGTTACAAGGGGTAAACTGCACGCGTTAGAGGTTTCTAACCGGGTGCTTCTCAAACCATGAGTGGGTTATATATGAATCGCCGCAATGTCGGCCGTCAAATAATGTATTTCTAGCGTTAACAAGCTGCCAGCTGATCTGCAGATGTCATGTTGAGTAGATGGGTGGACGTGTTGCTACTAACTTCGTGCGAAGATTGAGTACTGTGAAGATTGTAATACGTTTATTTATTGCATGGGGGGGTTGCACGTGCCGTGGTACACTTGTGAGGGTCAGAAACAACTTGCAGGAGTGTGTTCTTTCCTGTCGTGAGGGCTGAGAGATTAAATTCGGTGGTCGGGCTAGGCAGAAAACAGCTTTACTGGAAGAGTCCATTTGCCTGCCAGAATTGTTAAGCTAGCACTGAGGAGCTGGAGGCAGGAGTTGAAAGATCATCCCAGTCCTGGAATTCTGTACACCAGGCTCGGCTCAAAATCAACAGAGGTCCATCCGTCTGTCTCTGCTTTCTGAGTGCTGGGATTAAAGGCGTGCGCCACCACTGCCCGGTCATTCAGGAATCTTGAAATAGTGTCTCATTGGTGTAGAGAAATTGTATTACCGAGAACTTTCTCATGAGCATTTTAAGTTTAAGTGAATAGGTGTTCTCAGTATGTTCGCCCCCCAAAAAAGTAATAGATTGTATGCATGCTTCTAACTTCCTAATAAGTGATAATTGATGTGCCCATAAACAGTTGGAGGAAAATGATATTTATCTGACTAAAAGAGAAATTTCCAAAGTTTCTTATACTCTATGTTTGCAGACTTATGTTTTAAGTATATGCCCAAACAAATGATAGTGCCAGAGACTCTCTAGCAGACTTAAGATCGTGAGTTGTTTTGTTTTGTTTTTTTAACTTGGTATGCTTAAATTTCAGTTATTAAGCCGGGCAGTGGCACAAGCCTTTAATCCCAGCACTTGGGAGGCAGAGGTAGGCAGATCTCTGTGAGTTCAAGGCCAGCCTGGTCTACAAAGTCAGTCCAGGACAGCCAGGACTGTTTCACAGAGAAACTCTGTCTTGAAAAACAAACAACAACAAAATTTCAATTAATATAAATATAAACCTCAGTTTAGATTCATGTACAGAAGCATGACAGATCAGTAAAAGCCCACAGGAAGAAATATGTATTGCAGTGTAATAATTCTGTGTACATAGTGAAGTTTTGGGGGGGAGCATTAAATTTCCAGTTTTCATAGTCTAGCTAGCATTTGTGTGTATGCCTATGTGTTAGTGGGGATCAGGTTGTGAGTAACCAGGCCAGGTGTGAAATACCCCCACCTGCCACCTTCCCACATTCATTACAGGTAATGATGTAAACGTTCTGGGTTGCTTCTGGATCTTAGAACTAGAAATTGCACACGTTGCAACTTAAAAATGATGACCGAATTTTAAAAACACAGAAGAAAGAAGCTAGGCATGGGGTGGTACCTGCCCATAATCCCAGCACGTGGGAGGTTGAGGCAGGACAATCAACTCGAGTTTAAGTCCAGTTTTGAGAACACACATTCCCCCCCCCCCCCAAGAGTAAGTGATGGATAGCATAAGAATGAAATATTCTGAGAAGCTAACTTGATTTATGAACAGCTCTAGGATAGTGTTGGTTGGGAGTATGCATCCTGAAATTAAGATGTGGTTGATTTGGCCAGGTGTGGTGGCACTTGAGTTTAATACCAGCTCTTGGGAGGCAGAGGCAGACGACTCGCTAAGAGGGGGGGCCAGCTTGGTCTACACAGTGAGTCCAGGACAGCCAGGGCTACACAGAGAAACCCTGTCTTGAAATCCCCTCCCCACATATGAATATTTTATGTAGAAAAGATAAAATGTACTTCACACAGTAGGCTCTATAATTAGAAAAGTGTTCATTGAAGGCTTCTTTCAGAAAATAGAACCAGCCTTGCTTGTAGAGAGTCAAGGCAAAATGGAAGTCTGGGAAGTGTCCTTGGTCTTCAGGGTCAGCTACGTTGCCTCCAGAGTACGCCCTGAATGTAGCTGAATGGGTTCATGGTGTTTATGTTTGCATGCCAGGTTTCGAGATTGTGATGGGTCTAAATCAGTTGCTTAATATTTTCTCTCCTGGCTAAGATGCTCAGTGCATTGTTATAATTAGTCTACTTATATCTTAGGATTTGATTTTTTTTTTAAAAAAAATCTCCCTGGGGGTTTTATTTCCATCTCTACTGTTATGCTATTGCACGGCTCAAATAGCATTCTAATATTAATAGTGAGAGTCTATATTCTCTATTGTCCTGCTGCTATATCCACATACAGCATTCTAAGTAGTAGTAATAATGGGAAGTTTGTGTTCCTTTTTTTACAGGTTGCAGACATTTTATTCCAAACGGCAAAAAATGCGGAGCTCAGTTTTGACAGTGTGTGTGGAGTTCCTTACACAGCGTTGCCACTAGCTACAGTTATCTGTTCAACCAATCAGATTCCCATGCTCATCAGAAGGAAGGAAACAAAGGATTATGGTAAGAGGAAAAAGAAAATAGCACAAACCTCGAGTTAATGTGTAACCTGTTAGGGTTTTGTTCTCTTTCGGGCCCTGGTGATGACTAGAGCTGTGCATGCTCCTCAGAGGCCTGCTGAGCTGTTGAATTGTTCACTTCCCCAGAGTCCTTCCTGTAGAGTCTGGGTCTGAAATGCTTTGTGTTGACTGGGGAGTAGAGAGAGAGTGCTTGGTGAACCCTCACCTTTGTATTGGCCCTTCCCTCATCAGCAAAATGTTGTAAGAGCACATACTTCTAGGTATATTTATATTTAATGCATGCAGTCGTGAAGATTACTCTTATTAAACTCAGACCCCTTGGGAACATGTTTTTTGTTGGGGTCTATAACAGTAGAGTATCAAGTAGTTTGCTTTAAAATCTGAAAAATCAACCTAAAAATATCAGGACTGAGTTGATACTTAATGATATTCAAAAATTAATGGGATTTTTGCTTGCTTATATTGATTTGGTAATACTTTGTTAGTTTTAAAAGAGATCTTTTAAGATAAACTGCAGTATCTGGGGTTTGCTTCTAAAATTCTGAGAGTTGAGTGAGATAGCTCAACAGGTAGAGGAGCCTGCAGCTAACTCTAGTGACCCAAGTATGGGTGCGGGGTCCCATGCAGGAAGGAGAGATCCACTACTGCAGGTCCCTTGGCCTCCACACAGCGTTGTGAGGGAAAGGGAATGCAGATGTAGTTATTAGCCATGGGTTAAGTGGTGTGACTTTCTGACTATATTATTTTAAAGCTAAAAATAAATTAACTGCCCATGAGGAATGCAGTTGTTTCCTCCTGTGTTTACAGGTGTTCACAAAACTATAAGTACTCTGTGTCTTATGTCAGTCTTAGACTTGGGGAAACTTGCCATTTGTCAGGAAAGGGTGAGGAGAAAAGAAATGGGAATGATGAAAAAATGATTCCTACAGTAAAGCTCAAAAGCTAAAATGTATGCTTATTTTGTTTTAAAATAGGGAGTAGAAAATATAAAATTGAGTCTCAAAAAATGAACATGAAGCCAAGAAGAACCGGAGTTACTTACAATTTGTGGATTATAGTGGGGCTTAAGGGTAGAGAAGTCTCATTGTATAATTGTGGTTATGGTGTCCAAAAAGTGGTGATAAGTTTCCCATCTGAATTTAGTTTGAGTGTTTTGCCTGTGTGAGTGTATGTGTACCACATGCATATAGCGCCAGCAGAGGCATTAGATCCCCTGGAACTGCAGTTACATATATTGTGAGCAGTCATGTGGGTGCTGGGAACTGAACCAGTCTCTCTGTAAGAGCAGTCAGTGTTGTTAACCACTGGGCCATCTCCTTGGCCCCTATTTTGTTTGAGGCAGGGTTTCAACACACACGAGCGCACACACCCACACACTCCTGGCTGACCGCGTGCTGACTATAAGGCTCTGGCAGCCCCCCTGAGTACGAAGATAGTAGGCATGTGCCACACCTGGCTTTAAATTGCCAGTTGATCATGAGTGGTAAACTTGTAATCAATATTGATGGGAAAGAATGATTTTATTGATGATACTGACTTATTCTCTTTTTCATTATAAGTGGTCTTGCTTTAAGAAATTCCTCATTTGTTAAGAAAAATGAGTTTATTTACACTGTAAGATAATTGTCAGTTTTACTGTGACACTCTCTACACAATGGTAATTTGGAGATACAGAGGGTACTGAACGAAGCAGTGCGCCACATTGAAAAATCAACAGGAAGTAGCTTCAAAGTAAATGAACATATCAGATTTAAAGAATCTTAACTCTTTGTAAGTACACAGTAAGCATAGGCCCAGATATGTCTTGAGGTAGCTGAAACATTTTATATATTTCTTTCAACTGAAGCTTTTCTGTTTCAGGTACCAAGCGTCTTGTAGAAGGGGAGATTAATCCGGGGCAAACCTGCCTGATCATTGAGGATGTCGTCACCAGTGGGGCCAGTGTTTTGGAAACTGTTGACGTTCTTCAGAAGGAGGGCCTGAAGGTGACTGATGCCATTGTGCTGTTAGACCGTGAGCAGGGCGGCAAGGACAAGCTGCAGGCTCGGGGGATCCGTCTCCACTCCGTGTGCACATTGTCTCAAATGCTGGAGATTCTCGAGCAGCAGCAGAAGATTGATGCCGAGATGGTTGGGAGCGTGAAGAGGTTCATTCAGGAGAATGTTTTTGCAGCAGCTAATCAGAATGGCATTCCCCCTCCTGAGAAGAAAGCATGCAAAGAACTCAGCTTTGGTGCTCGAGCAGAGCTGCCCGGAGTCCACCCGCTTGCCTCAAAACTTCTCAGGCTTATGCAGAAGAAGGAGAGCAATCTGTGCCTGTCTGCCGATGTATCAGAGGCCAGAGAGCTGCTGCAGCTAGCAGATACCCTGGGGCCCAGCATCTGCATGCTCAAAACTCACGTTGATATTCTGAATGATTTTACTCTGGATGTAATGGAGGAGTTGGCAGCTCTGGCAAAACGCCATGACTTCTTAATATTTGAAGACAGGAAGTTCGCTGATATAGGGAACACCGTAAAAAAGCAGTATGAAGGTAAGTGTGTTCAGAAATCCAGTATAGACTGGCCATGGGGGAGAAGATGAATTGGCTCTTGAGAGTCAGCAAGGAGCAAGCTGTCAAAGGTGCAGTCAAATCCAGGCAGTGAAGTGACACCTTCGACATTGTTTCTTTCCCTCTCTGGGCTGTGTTCTTCAGTCTGCTTTCTCTGTTGACTTGTTTCTCAGGCAGGGAATTTCACTGTACCTCTGGGTATAAACTCCATTATTAGCTGCCCTGGGGAATACTCCTGCAGGGACAAGGTTCAATTCTTTTTAACCATCTTGGACTGAGATCCCTGTCAGTTCCCTTTTAAAAAAAAAAAAAATGGGTGAACTGCTGTCAGACGGGTATGTGTGAATTCTGGGCAGGCAAAACAAGATTTGGCCCTGCTAAAAATTGCCGATATAGGAAAGGATGGAAAAGAAGTATAAAGTAAAAAAGCAATATTTTTAGCAGCATAAAGTGTTAGTACACTTTTTTTTTCTTAGAAGTTTTTGATATCAGACAGGCAGAGCAGCTTATGACCTGGGAAATGCTTAGTCCTATACCTGTTTTCACATGTGGACTTCTGCTCTTAAACAGCTGGCCAGTGGTGGCACACACCTTTCATCCCAGCACTCAGGAGGCTGTGAGTTCGAGGACAGGCTCCAAAGCTACACAGAGAAACCCTGTCTCAAAAAAAACAAAAAAATAAAATGTGTGCAGTTGCCTCTTAAGATTGGAAAAGCTAAGGAACCTGTACAGGGTAAAAGTTGCCGAGAAATCTCTCTTTCATCTTCAAGAGAATTTGAGGATGTCACTATGCTTGTACTCTGGGAATGTCTATCTTCATAGAACTCCTTCTGATGGCATATAAGCCTTATTGGTAGTCACAAGCTTCAATCTGCAAAGAAGAAACAGCCCATCAGCGTTCCTAATAAACCAAGGACAGCAGCAAGAATTTTTTCTGACCTCTCATCCAGCTGTCAGGTGGCAGCTGCGTATCACAGACACAGATGGGTCCACTGATAAAGTTCTTAAAGTAGTCAACTCTTTAACCTTTTATAGTTGGTTGGGCAAAGGGTTATATAGGTTTATGTTTGAAAATTAGCAAATATCTTTTTTGGTTTGGTTGACTTATGTTTTTCGAGACAGGATTTCTCTTTGTAATAGTCTTGGGTGTCCTGGAACTCTCTTTGTAGATCAGGCTGGCCTTGAGTTCAGAGAGATTCGCCTGCCTCTGCCTCCCAAGTGTTGGGATTAAAGGCATGCATAACTGCCTGACTAAGAAATTTAACTAGCAATTACTTGATTTTTGTCCTTTCAATCACAGCAAATATCTTTTTTATTCCTTCTTAGGTGGCATCTTTAAAATAGCTTCCTGGGCAGATGTAGTAAATGCCCATGTGGTACCAGGCTCGGGCGTTGTGAAAGGCTTGCAGGAAGTGGGCCTGCCTTTACGTCGAGCATGCCTGCTTATTGCAGAAATGAGCTCCGCTGGCTCCTTGGCCACCGGGAACTACACCAAAGCAGCAGTAAGTGGTGGTGTGTGGGGTGAATGGAGAGCGCATCTGTGTGTGCTGCATGTTCTAGGGCAAGAAAAGCCCTTCATTGAAGGTCTGCGGGAGCCATGGCCTCACCTCTCATGCCCGCCTCCTCGATTCAGCTTTTATTCTGACAGTTTCATAACATCAGTTGGATTGAACTCTGTGATCTTGTAGCAAGTGAATTGTACTACAGACTGTTAGGACATCTCTACCTGTGCTTGTCGTTTCATCTTGAGGCAGAACTGAAGGTGGTTGAATTTTAAATTGCTCTTCCCATTTTCCTATGGGAAATTTTATAGTTGGATAGTCATCTAGAAAGTAAGTAAATGATATTTATAGTTCAAGGAACACAGTAACACTTTAATAAAAAATATCCTGAATGGACCACATAAGCACTGGCTTCCCAGGTTTTGAAAGTAAATAAAAGGTCTGGGAGTGACGTCTGTCTCAAGAACAAGCTGTCCCTTACTGGTGGTAATAGCTGGCGGCAAGGCTGACATTGTGAGAGTCTCAGACAATCAGAAAGCCAGGCCTGCTGTACCTGTAAGAAAGTGGTGTGGAAATAAGGAGGCCAGTGAAGAGCAGGTGCTAAAGAGGGAAAATGCTGGAAGGCCACTGCTTAGATAAAATAGCTACATCTGTAAGCACTATGGTGAGACACACCTCGTATCCTTGGAAGCAGGAAAATCTCCAGGCAATTTACATGTAAGAATTATAGCATCTTGTTTGATGCACATACTGTAGAAAGTTCTGCTCTTTTCAAGCGTGGTTTGTTGGAGGAAGGGGTCATCTCAGGACCTTTTACGTGGGCTGATTGTTCTGTTACTGTGTTCTTGTAATACTGCCTATTACGTCCCGTGTAGGTTGGGATGGCTGAGGAGCACTGTGGATTTGTGATTGGCTTTATATCCGGCTCCCGAGTAAGCATGAAACCAGAGTTTCTTCACTTAACTCCGGGAGTTCAATTAGAAACAGGAGGTAAGTGTGTTCACTAGTTATGGCAGAGTAAAGCACTATGCTGTGATGGTATTGTCTTAGTCTAGAACAATGAGCAAGCCCTTTGGCCTGTACTGTATTTGTAAGACATCTTGCAGTTTAATTTTAGAAGGATCTCTTCAAGTTCCAGGGCCAAGTAAATTTCTAACTCTGCCTCCAAGTGTTTGAACTAAAGGCATGTGCCACCATGCTGACCAGAAACCTGGTATTTTAGGTTAGCATTTCCTAGTTGGTGCTCTGATTATGGTGCCTGTTCTGTATTCCAGCAGGTCTGGAGAAGCTTGGCTAAACAGACTATTGTCGGCAGCTTTGATGTGCCAGTGCCTGTCTATGGCTCCTAAATTCTCAACAGTCTCAAATGTAGCTGTAAAGGAGCAAGCTAGGGTATAAAGACAAACAGGGGTAAGGGCTGGATGTGGTTCTCAGTAGTGTGTGTGCTTAGCTGCCATGAGGCTATGGGCTTAGTTTCCAGCACCTCACCCCTGCCTGCCAACAAAAAGTGTAACTGTCTGTAGGACACAGTATATGGGTTAGTTATTACTCAGGGGTGTAGCTCACACAAGTTCTGGGGTTCATCCCTAGCACCTCGTAAACCAGCTCTGGTGTTTGTTTCCTAGTTACAAATGGAACATGACATCAAAACCTTCAGTTGAAAGTGCATGTTGCTTACCACCAGAGGACGCCTTTGTGTATTTTTATGTCTGTTGAGTATTTCTAGGATAGATAGTATTTAACACGTTAGGGAAAAGCACTCATAGAAAGGGAGTCAGAAGAAAACCAGTGGATGCAGATGCATGCGCATTACATCTGTGGAGCAGACAGCCCTCCACAGAGTAAGTGAGCTTGGAAGTCAGCAACTCAGAACTTTCTAAAGTCTTTGCATTCTCAACCCTTCCATGCTAGTATCAGGTATCTTTATACGGGGCACTCACCTTTTTTGTTTTAGACAAAATCTCTATCTAGTTCTGCCTGTCCTGGAACTGCCTCCCAAGTGCTGGGACTCCTGTGGCATAGGTGGCCTTGAACTCCTGAGTGCCACCATTCCCAGCTGACTAAATTGGGGCCTTGAATGTACCTAGGCAGCTCCAGTCCCTACACTATAAACTATTTTGTTAATTTAAATGCATAATTTTACTGTTTGTCAAACAGTTTTATTTCAGGGAACAATTGAAGTATCACTTCAGTCAGTAGGGAGCAGCACCCTTGGAGGGAAAAATAGTAAAGCAGACTAAACTACTTTAATCTCTTCTGGATCTGTGGCGGGATCATAGTCCTGACTTTAATCAGCTTGAGAGGCATTGAGATGGCGTGAACAGCATTGATTTAGCACAGCCTCACAAAGCCAGCTCATTTGACTGCTGTGTACGAGCTTGCGATTCTTTCACTAGATCGCATGTTAGAGCATAGGCTTTCAGGAATCAAAAGCATCAAAACCCATTTAACATAACACTTCTAGAACAACAGAAATTAATAAATCTAATCAGAGATTAGGGTTTATCAGGTATGGTGACAAATGCTTTTAACACCAGCACTAGGATTTCTGAGTTCAGTGCCAGCTTGATTTACTTTGTCTCCAAAAACAAAGGATTAGGGTCTGAGAACTTGGGATTGTAGCAGAAAGGGTTATGAATAGTAAGGTGTGTATGGTACTAAATGTTCTCTGGATTTACCTTAATATCTTGGACTGACCCTGTGATTGCTTGCAAGCTTCCTGAGTTCACATTATGTTAAATAGTTTTTGTTTCTCTACAGGGGATCACCTCGGCCAGCAGTACAATAGTCCTCAAGAAGTGATTGGCCAACGGGGTTCTGATGTCATCATTGTAGGCCGGGGAATCCTTGCAGCGTCTAACCGGCTGGAAGCAGCTGAGATGTACAGAAAAGCTGCCTGGGAAGCTTATTTGAGTAGGCTTGCTGTTTAATGAGAAGATGCTGAAGATGACTGATGTTGTCAAAGCAACAGTGCCTTATGGTGCTCGGGGTTCTGCACAGAGCCAATGAGAGACAGACTCTGGAACTATCATATCATGGTCTTTACGTGTAATCACTGCCTTGGTACTGTAATGAGCTTTCGTACAGTACGTACTGTAAAGCTTGCTTTCGTCGAGACTGGTATTTGTTGGGCAGCCACCACCTTTCTGATTCCCTTTTCTTTCAGTCATCTAGTTGTTGTGTGTTGTTTTTGCTCTTTTGGGGGCCTGCCACCCAGCTCCCAAATAAATCACACGTGGAGGCTTATTAGTTATGAATGCCCAGCCTTAGCTTGGCTTGTTTCTTGCCAGCTTTTCTTAAATTATTGCTTCTGGGCTTGTCTCTTTCTCTATTTCTGTATACTTTTTTTTCCTCCTTACTCTGTGACTGGGTAGGTGGTTGGCCCCTGATATTCTCTTCTTGTTCTCAGATTCTCCTATTTATACTCTCTGCCTGCCAGCCCCACCTATCCTTGATCCTGCCTTGCTATTGGCCATTCTTTTCTTTATTAGGACCATTAGGTGTTCAGAGTTATTACACACCTAGAAATAATATTCCCCAACAACTAATGTTAGCTAGCCACTTACCTCGTTCAGTACCATGTAGCCGGACCCTTAAATGGAGCAGGAATTTGGGTTCATTCTTCTCAGCAGTCAGTGTAGAAAGCCCCAGCTTCAACTTGCTTCATCTGGATGGCAGACTGCTGCATCTAAGAGAATAGTAGTACCAGTTCCCCATTGTCATTAATGTCTTTACTAGTGGACTGGAGGCTCATAATGGCTCAGTGGTTAAGAGCACTGTTGCTCTTCTAGAGGGTCAGCATTCGGTTCCCAGCACCCACATGGTGGCTCACAACCATCTTGTAACTCCAGTTCCAGGGGATGCAATTTCCTCTTGCTTCGGCTCCACATAAAATGTATAAAACTTTTCTTTAAATTAGTCTTTGCCAGTGCTAAAAGGGAGGATTCTTACTACAGGAGTGTGGCCATTGCAGATGAAATTCACAGCCTCTCCCTGCCCCGCATAAACTTGAGCCATTTCCCCCTTTGGTTCACGTTCTTAACAAGCGAAGCACCATTACCGTGGTTTCTGCCCTCCACACATCTTCTGCAGTGCCTTAAGTTCTTATTCCTGCCAGAAGGAAAGATCCGTTAGCAGGTAGCTGTGTGTAAACAGTCCAGACTGGGGCAGACTGATGTGTATCAGATGGAATGGTCAGAGTGAGTCTGTAGGCTACACATCCATAAAAAGATGAGCCACTGCACCTCACTCAGCAAGTATGCACCCTCTAGTAAAGTGGAGTCAAAGCAGCTAAAGCAGCAAGTGCTTGCAGGAGGCCCAATTGCAGCATGATCCATTTGCACTAATGCCTGGAAAATGCTAAGAAAATGTCCCTTTTAGGCGGTGTTAGCTTCCTCTTTGTCTCCTGACATCTGGTAGTTCCAGGAGTCCAAAGGGATCCTTTCAGTATTAAGGTGCAAACCTAAATTAAGGTCCTGAAGTTTCAAATCCACACATATGCACGGTTCCAGAGCGATCTTTCAGTTCATTTCTAGAAAACCAGGTCTTCAGGAAAGCGGTCAGAGGGAAAATACACATTAGCATCATACATTAAAGTCTTGCAGTATTCACATCAGCATTTTGGGAAATAGGAAGCATAAGGTCCTCTTGAGAACACAGACGTCCTGGGTCGATCCACCCACTAAATTAACTACAGTACTGTTGGGAGCTATTGGGGGCTGTTGACCCCTGGACCCTGAATTCCCTGCGAGCGGCTTGTTTTTTCTATGCTTGCAGCTGCTGAGCACAAGACTTTGATAGCAGGCTGGTGGGTCTGCAGCTGAAATATCCCGAGAGCTGGGGCATGACCAGAGCCCTATATAAGCTTCCGCTGAGCACAATAAACTTGACATTCTTTTATCAAGGATGAGCCATGTCTGCGTGTCTCTGTATATGTGTGTTTTTAAGTCTCTCAGCCCAGTTCCTGGCTCGCCTGCCGTCCTATGCTACAGGTGTAGTACCGTATAACACGTAGTACAGGATCTTTCATGTTTATATACAGTACCTTTGGCCAAGTCAGTCCATCTTAAAATTCAGTTAAAATGCTGTCAACTTCTCCAGCACGGCAGTGTCCTGCTAACACCCTGTTTAACAGTTATATCATTTACCTAAGAAAATAGCTTTGTAATAATGTCTCCAGTGTTTACTCCATAAAGATGATGTTCCCCAGTGGCCTCAAGTACTCTTGCCACGTTGGCCCTCTTGCTTGTATATAAGCAAAAACTATCAGGAGAACATTTATGTCCCACTGAAGGTGGTAATTGCATGAGATTTGTAAATACTCATGATCCATCAACGTGCCGGTTTTTTGTGAACGTGACATGAACGTTTGGGAAGAGGGGTTTTTTGAGACAGGATTTCTCTGTGTAACAGCCCTGGCTGTCCTGGAACTCTGTAGGCCAGGATGGCCTCAAAGTGAGGTCCATTTGCCTCCTGCACCAGTACGCCTGTTGGAAGAGGGGAACTTAATGGAGACGATCTAAGATTGGCCTGTGGACATGCATGCGTTTGAGGGCATTTTCTTGATTAGTGATTGATATGGGATTGAGGGGCCCAGTCCACAGTGGGCAGAGCTGGTAGTCCTGAACTGCACAAAAAAAAAAAAGTAAACAAGGGCTGGAGAGATGGCTCAGAGGTTAAGAGCACTGACTGCTCTTCCAGGGGTCCTGAGTTCAATTCCCTGCAACCACATGGTGGCTCACAGCCATCTGTAATGAGATCTGGTGCCCTCTTCTGGCCTGAAGGCAGACATGCAGGAAGAACCCTGTATACATAATACTTAAATAAATAAGTCTTTAAAAAATGGTAAACAAGCCAGGAAACAGCATCCTCCATGACTTCTGCCTCAGCTTCTGTCTTTAGTTTCCTGATCTGACTTCCCTCAGTGATGGAATGTGACCTGAGGGTGATAAGCCGAAAGAAACCCTTTCCTCCCCAAGATGCTTTTGGTGACAGCAATAGAAACCTAACAATTATGGAACAAAAACACACCACTAGAACTTTTGGTAGTCATCTCAGGACTGGGGTTTGCCATGAGAGACGTTGGCTCTAACTCATTTTGGCAGGTTTATTTTTTTGAGAAATGATCTTGTATAACCAGCCTGGCCTTGAATTCACAACCTCACCTCAGCCTCAGATGCTAGGTGTGTTCACCAAACAGGCTGATGTCAGCACTTTCAGAATGGTCACCACAAAAGGTAACATGGTGCAGAACCAACAACAGAGACCTAAAACACAAGGAAAGACCCCAGTGGCTGGCTCTTCAGGCCCTGCATGGTGATACATACTTCACACTGAATTCTTGGTTGCTGTACCTCTGACTGGAACTAGATATGTTGGCCAAGCTGGCCTAGAACTCCTAGTGAGCCGTCTACCTTGGTAACCCGAGTCCTGGGATTAAAGGCCTATACTACCACAGTAGGCAGAATTTTCAAACACTGGTTTTGTTTTTCCAGTCAGGACTAGAGAGATGTGCGTCAAAGGACTACTGTAGGGGCTGGGCTGTGGCCGTGTGTGCCTTTAACACAGCACTTGGGAGGCAAAGACAGGCAGACTTCTGATACATAGAGAAACCTTGTCTCAAAAACCCTCAACAAAGGAGGAGGGTTACTATAGGGACTGGAGAGGTGGGTCTGTGGTTAATACCTGCTGTTCCTCTAGAGGATCAGGCTCAAACACACACTTGGCAGCTCAGCCTGTCTACAGTCCCGGAGCATCGAAGGCCCTCTTCTAACCTCTGAGGACACTGTAGGCACATGGTGGACAGACAAGAGCAAAAACACCCACACACAAAATTTCTAAAAATGAAAACATTTTAAAGATTACTATAGCCAATTTGGCTTGCACCAAATGTAAAGCAACTACCAAAGAAACCGAATAGCCGCAGTGTTAGAACCCGAAATGGTCCTGTACTACGCTCTATGTGGTACTACGCCTGTAGCTCCCATGTCACTACAGGGCCGGTTGCACGAACCGGGCTGAGAGACTTAAAAACACGAAGACACACAGAGACAAGAGACATGGGTCACCCTTAATACAAGAGTGCCAACTTTATTGAGCTCGGGGGACGCTTTATATAAGGATCCTTAATGGATAGCCACGCCCCAGCTCTTGGGCTCTTTCAGCTGCAGACTCATCAGAAACCACTCCCCTGCCATCAGGGTCTCGTGCTCAGAGCAGCTGCAGCCTGCTCAGAGCCGAGAAAACAAGTTGTTTTGCTCACAGCAGCTGCAAACATAGGAAAAACAAGCTGCTCACAGGGAATTAGGGTCTGGGTCTGCAGCTCCCACCAGTTCCCAACACTGCAGGAAACGTCTCAGGATTCCAGCTGCCCATGCAGCCGGTAAAGAGCTTGGGAAACCTGAGTTCAGATCCCCAGCATCCATGTAAAAGCCAGCAGCCACTTCATATCACAAGTGGGGGTGCGGACAGTGTGGGGCAGACGGACAGACAGGATCCCTAAAGCTCATTGGCCGGTTAGTGGACAGACAGGATCCCTAAAGCTCATTGGCCAGTTAGTGTAGCCAAATTGGTGAGCTTCAGCTTCTGTGAGAGACTGTCTCAAAAAACAAAAACAACCCCTCTTCCCAGAAAACAGAAGGTGGATGGCACTCGGGAGGCAGAAGCAGGCAGATCTCTGAGTTCAAAACCAGCCTTGTCTACAGAGCGAGTTCCAGGACAGCCAGGGCTCCACAGAGAAGCCCTGTCTCTAAATAAATAAAGTGGATGGACAAGCAGGTAATCCCACCCCTGCCAGTCTTGACAACCTGGGTTCAATCCCGGGGACCCACATGGTGGGAGGAGAAAACCTATTCCTGAAGATTCTCTGATCTTTGCGTGCACGCACATTAAAATTACAGGATAGAGGTCAGTGTAGACACCTGATGTCAAGCTCTGGTCTCCATGTATATGTGTGTGCACATACACAAACATAGGTACACAGAAAGAGCTTCTTCTGTGTTCAAACAAGCTCAGGCTGCCACTAAGACCAAATCAAGCCAGGACTGTCACACAAATAAACCCTGTCTTAAACAAACAAACAAACAAACAAACAAAAATGCCCCTGGTTTCCCTGTACCACATAAAGTCAGTATGCTCTGTTAGGAAATACAGTTTTTTGAGACAAGGTCTCTGGCTGTCTCGGAACTCAGAGATCCACCTGCCTCTGCCTCCCTAGTGCTGGGACTAAAGATGTGTGCCACCTGTTCCATTAGTCTATTTACCAAATGAGACCGTACACCTCACCTGTTGCAAATAAATACTAGAAGCACAGGTGAGGAGCGGCCCTCGCCTTCTGGGTAGAACTTGGCTCAGTGCATACCGTTCACATTTCATGCTGTGCTGTGTATGGATCTGTTACCGGTGATGCCTCGAGGAGGGAACCACACCCACCTTGTCTAGCTTCGCACCTCTGCTCCAAACAGAATGTGGAACAGCAGATTGGTCAAGAGTCTGCTGAGGGTCTGCATTCCATCACTGTGTTTTTCTGATTCGTCAGGGCATGTCTCAGGGAAAGCTGTGAGCAGCTGTTTCTTTTTTCAAAGTAATTTTTAAAAGATTTATGTATTTGTATACACAAATCAGAAGAGAGGTCACCAGGTCTCATTATAGATTGTTGTAAGCCACCATGTGGATGCTGGGAATTGAACTCAGGACCTCTGAAAGAGCAGCCAGTGCTCCTAACCTCTGAGCCATCTCTCCAGTCCCCAGAATAATTAGTTATATAGAGCCTTTTCTAATCATCAAAATTGGGAATCGACCCTAGTCAAAATATTTTCTAACTACTTTTTATCACAGTAAAATAAGGATGATTAATAAGCAAGTTTCAGTATTTTAACCTCAAAATGGTCCATAAATTCTAAAAGAATCCATCACTTAATCCAACATCCACTACTCAACACCTCAGAAGAGTGGACTTCCCCAAACCACAACAAGATTCTTTATAGATTCCAATGCTTTTAGACTCTATTCATTATCAACAGTTTATGCTTAAATTATCTTAAGCAGTTAGTCATTGAAGTTTCGGGAAAGCCAAAATCCAAAATCAATTCTTGTGCAATGATCCGAAGATACCTGAAAAGCAGCAAAATGCAAGGCTGAGTCCCCTTCGCTTCCCTAAAGGCAGAGCCTTGAACAGACTCCTCAGTTCCCACGCCTTCAACCAGCTCTTCTCACAGGACAGATCTCTCCGCACAGGGAGAGGCATGTGACAGCCATACTCTATGCCTCCGAGGGCCCATTCATTAAGAGCCATCCATCCCAGGGTGTCTTCACTCCAACAATTTGGCTCACTTCAGCCACCTGGCAGAGTCCAGGACCCCTGGCCCGTTTAAACCGGTCTTAGGCAAGTCAGCTTTCAGGCTGCTAAGACAGTGTTGTAAGACAGACACGTGGCTAAGACAAGGGCAACGCTGTTCCATAGGCATCTGTTGCTTCACTGTAGAAGCGCCAAGGGCTCTGCTCCTCCAGGTGTGGACAAGAACTTTCCACCAGAGAAGCCGTTCCCTTCAACCAAGGCAGGTCTCCAGAACTAAGTAGACCCTGGGGCTTTTAACTACATGACGGAGCGCAGAGAGAGGTTCCCTAACACCAATACAGCAGACAAGGCTCTTTCTTACAAGACAAAAACACTTTCCCATCATGCTAAGATTTTAACCAAGGTTCAGGGACCTGAGCGCTCAACTTTTAAAAACAACTTTTAGCAACCTGTACCAAAAGATGCATCTGACTTTCTGAAAAAGCTTTGGTGCCTTATTTTTTTCAAGTGCCCTACAAACTCCTGCACTATGGTCTCTGAACCCCATGTTCCTGTTAGGGCTCACCCATCTCTAAACACAATAAATAGAGGTGTAAGCTTTGGGGGTTCTT